ACAACTAGTTTACAAAGCAAAATAAATTAGCATGAGAGCAGAGGCCTGGCCTTTTTTCCTGCTTTTCTATTTTGCTTTCTGGCTGTGTTTCTGCTGTGATGTAATCTGAATTACTTGTACATCACTGCTTGTTTGAACAAAGACATAAGATGTGTTGACTACAGTTAAAAAAAAAAAAAGCTGAGGCTGACCTTGCAAAATATAAAAATAATGTCGTCCTTTCGCTTAGTCCCCTTAAAGTCCGTTCTCTTTCCGAGAAGGGTCACTCCCAGCTGAAGTTTCATATAAGGTTTTAAAAGATATAAAATCTATTTTCTAGGCCCTTGTTTGGATACCTTCTTTTCACTAAGTTTCACGCCTTGAAGGCTTACTCACTTTCATAAAATACACATTTTACACTGTTGATTGCCCAGGTTTTAGAAAGGAATTGCTCTGACGTTCTGCTCTTACATAACTGCAGTTGATAGGGCATTTTGTAATTGATTTTTAGTAAAAACAGGAGCAGACTGTAAGGAATTCTGTAGATGTTCTTTTTCTCGTTTTGATAGCCTGTCTGGAAAGATATCTTTACCAAGCCCACTTTCCATGTTTGTTTTTTAAAATTTCTTATTGCCCCATACGTTGGCAATGTCTGTGTATTTGAAATAAAAAAAGGTTTGGTTCTGAATATACAGTTACGGTCATTTAGTTAGAGGATATATAATTTCAAATCAAATTTTATCTGTTCAAAGGACATAGTACTTCTGCCTTCATGATGTTGTTTCATCCTGAGAATTGACTTGGGCAGGTAAATTTTCATTTCCCTTTTCCTGCAATATAATTTTTTGTATAAAATGCTAAATACAAATATTGAATCACAATGTAGTGCATTTAATAGAGTCTAAATAGAGGGGAAAAAATTCCCATTAACAGCCCCTCCTCAAAAATAATTCCCATTGTCTTTAGGACAGTATTTCAGTAGGCTGCCTCAGTTAATTAGATGTGGTTTGATTTCTGTTCCGCGCTGCTCACGTACATCAATGTGAGTACACGCCACTGTATATATCTGTAAAGTTTAGGGCTGCAATTCTGAAATTTTAGAGCAATGAACTGTATTAAGCAGTGATAATATTGAAGGGGAAGAGCCAGTAGCTACTTCGATAGCATGAATAATATTATGGCAATAAGGAAAAACAGAGAGCAAGTCTGTTTCAGAGTGGTTATAATGGCATCAAGTAAGTTTTTGTACGTTATCTTCTAGAGAAAGCACTGATAAGTTAATATGTAGCTGTTACATGCAGAATTTTAGCCTTGTCATTATTTGTTTGAATTTCCTTTCATTTTTCACAACTTTTTAGGTGTCGGTATTAAAATTTTCCAGTTTTTACAGTTAACATTATTTTAAAAACACCAATGAAAAGCCAAATCTATTAGGTACTTTTCTTGTTTTGCAAAATACCACATTCATGCTTTACTCTCCCAAACCCTTTTTTGAAGCTGGGTTGATGTTTTGAGCGCAATTCTGTGAAGTCCTGAGCTGTTCTTAACACTTCAAAGGACCGGCCTCTAGGAATGTACAGCCTCAGGACATGTACGTATTGACAGGCCCTGATTCACCTGTCCGTTATTGTTCATAAAGTGTTTCGGCATGTGTGTAAATTCTGTGTAAGTGCTTTTCAGACTAGAGATGAATTAAAGCACATAACCGCTTTCCTGAATTGCTTATATATTTTATGAAGTTGAGCAAGCGTGCAAGAAACCTTTCAGGGTCTTCCGTGTCTGTGCAATAAGTGTAAAACTAGGATTTAGATTTTTTTAAGTCTGTTTTATTCTTTAAGAATGCTAACACATTTAAAATTCAGCGGCAACATGACAGAGGCAGGGTCGCCTCATTGACATTCAGTAGTCTCAATTGAATTTGGTCTACACTCAAGTCTTGCATCACTTCTACACCTGGAAATCTCCAATGATGTTAATGAAGTTACTGCTGATTTACATGAGTATACATAAGGGGGGAAAAACAGACTATAAATCTGCTCGGCTTTGAAGACGTTTGTAGAGGCCCCAAGTGGAAGGACAGCATTGTGATATCTTAATGTTCACTAGGCATATTGTATTTAGTAACAGTGGGAAAACAGTGTGTATCTGCTTTATAACTAAGAAACAATTACCAGACTCATTTTGCTCTTGAGTAATAACCGTTTGAACGAGGATTGTGTCTCAAGCGGCAGCGCTGATTTTCTGTGTCTTCTAAGATCGCTCCAATCGTCATTGCTCTTCTTTCTTTAGAGCATTTTCTTTGATGCTCGCTAACACACGCTTACTACTTTTAACCTTAACAATGGATTTAGCAAGCCTTGCTACACCCAATTTACACCTTGGGAATATACACCTAAAGGTTTATCTGGCATGCAGCCTGTGACAAGAACAGGCGCATCGATGAGTGACACTTGCAAGAAAGTGATTTTTAATTGTGTAATTGTGGCAAGCTGCAAAATTCTGGTATGTGAGAAAAATACTGTAAAACAGATTTGAAACTAAATGAAAAGGAAGCTTAACTGTCGAGATATGTGGTCTGCAAACAAAATAGTCTATGCTGATCATTTGAGTCAGGTTACTTCCCTAGGAATACTTCTTCTCACCTAATAAATCTAGGTGGAAAAATAAAAGGCACGTGAACAACAGCAGAAAATTGCATAATCACTACAGTTGGATCAGAGTACAATTTTCTTTAAAAATACTGAAAAGTCTGTAAAGGTTTAAAAAGATGAATGTGATTTTATATTGATATTTACCTTGCGGCACAAAATAATGATGTAGTATTTTTGCCTGTGACTGTTAAATGTTGCTGCATTCATTGTTCCGTAACAGTCTCGAGAGTATCATGTTTTTCATCCAAAATGCTTTACAGAGAGTTACAAGAAAGATTCCTGGACTTGAGTGAGATGCAGCCATATCTAAACACAACAGCCATTCCACTGTAGTAACCCTATAAAGCCTTTATGGGATGAAAGTGAAACTAGTGCAAATTTAGTTAAAACTGCATTAAACAGCAGTAGGTTAAATAAATGTCATAAATGACCCACCAACCTATGTGCTTCAAGTAAAGTTAATTATTTATAAGAGCAGTGATAGCAGAAGATGCTTTCTCAGGTTGAAAGTTGAATATACACTTACCAGTAGTGTTAGCTTGCACCGTTTTCCTCATCCATTCGTAAGAGCTGTGCCTTTGGCTGTTGGGAGAGATTTGCTGTGTATTAATTGTTTCTACAGGAGGTAACCCCCCAGCTCCAGCAGGATGGAGGGAGCTGTAATCAGCAGAACCGTAGGAGACCTGTCCAGGAGACGAGCCATTGATCTGTGCAGCAGCAACCGTGCTGGAAGGTCCTGGGCCGTAAGCGTTCCAGTCCTCCCTCTGTGGGCCATAGTGAGATCCCCAGGTTCCCGCAGGCTGTCCGTGGGTGTCCAGAGTTGGCACATGATGGTATCCCATGTAATCTGGATAGGGCGGAGTAGACACAAAGTTTTGCACTGGCAGGTTGTTGCTGCTGCACCTTGCAGATCCTGGATACATGCTGGTTTCTTTATCCAAAAGGTAACTCACATACATGATGCTCACAGCCTGGCTTTGTCTTGCTGGGACATCCTGCTCCTCACAGTGTTTGTTTGATCTCTCTTCCCCTCCTCTTTCTTTCTCTCTCTTTTCTAGCCCTGACTGGCTCTATAAATGACTCATGCTAGCCCTGATGTCCCTTTACTACACATGATTAACAATGGTTTTACCAGGTGCTGGTGGTAACAGTTTACTAAGGTCCTGCCTGATGTCACAGATAACTGCCTGCCCCAAAATTACATTTGCATTCAAATGAAGGGCTGACCATGCAGGCAACCCCACCTTGCTGCTAGTTCTAGTGCTTCCTTTCTCACAGATCCTTTATGTATTACCATCCCGGTTCTATACTTTTTGAATGTAGTTTGAAATCTTGTGGTCTTCAAGCAAAGTTGCCTACATAGTTAACCAGTAACCGTTCACACGGTAACAGTAGTACTTTTCTTGATCAATACATGTCAGAATCTAACTTCAGGCACTAGGTTATAGTTAAAGCCTGGTATCTGCTAGTCCAGTAGTTCTTTTGTTAGAATGTGCTATATTATATTTTTTTTTTAAACTGAAAACAAAGGACCAGTTCAGTCTTTTACTGCAGCTCTTACATAGTTTCTCACATGAGCACTCTTCTTGACTTCAGCTCTTGGTCCATGTGGGAGAGCACTTAGAAACCACAGTAATCCTACTGATTTTAACATTACAAAGGATAAACAAGAAGTCTCATAGTCATTTTGAGCATTTGTTCATACGAATAGTCTTGTTGATGTTAGCAAGCCTATTCATGAGCTGGCTGCTTGCCACAGTGATTGAAGTTTCTCTATTCTAACTTAGAATGTTAACAGAAAGGGAATCTGTCATTGAGAGAATGCAAAATTTGTCACTTTCCTTATGCTTATGTCTTGTTTGTGATATTGAAATGAGCGGTAGTTTTCCCTGAAGGTTTTGCTGTTCTCATTGCTGTGCTTCTTCACAATAAGTAACACCTTTTCTTAGAAATACGGGAACAAATTCTAGCTTTTTAGCTCAAAAAAGCAGTTTCCTAACTTTCAGGAGCAATCTTTGTTTGTAAGTAACAAATTCCTACGAGATTATCTATAAGCAGGAGTGAGAAGAGAAAGTGTTGATTTCTTTTTTTTTTTTTTTAATGAGATAGATACCTTAGCATTGTCTCTTAATGAGAATTTACTGTTTTCATTCCTGTTCCTTTAATGATGTGATACTCAATTGCACCTTTATTAATGAACCAACTTGTTAGAAGGATTTTTTTCTTAAACAGGTGCAAAGTATAATGAGTTTTTTCTTTGTTCAGAGGTGTATTTTTTTCTTTGAGGGTCTTTTACACTTAAACACCATTTAAACTTACAGGTTCCTCCTGGTTCTCAGGAGGAAAGAATCACTTCGCATACCTGACAACACCGTTGTTTCCTTTTGTGAGAGAATGGTGTCCTTAGGCTGTATTCACAAGAGGATTTGTAGATGTAGTTGTGGAAAAACCTTTTTTGTCTGTTAATTTCAGGGCTATGTTGAGAAGCACAGGCTACCTTCTGTGAGTATTCAAGATTTTCCTACTGTGCACTTTGGTAAAACTTCTGCTCTTTTACATCTTGTTTCTTGTGAGTTTTTGGAGGATGATGTTTTGCTGGCATAAACGTTAAAGGTCTTTTAAAAATCCTTGGGTGGAGGGAAGCTGGCAGAAACTGTTTTGTCTGCTTGCATATGTGAGCGTATTCAGTTGCAATTTACACATCTGTGACAGCTGGCCATTCCGAATGGCCCAGTGTAGCTGCTGGTATGGACTGCTCAAATCTAGGGAAGTCAATAATCAGTACATCATGTATCCCAGCAGCTTACTTCTCCTGTGCCAGCAAAATAAATCATATTTGTCTCATAAGGAATTAGGTGTCTGCAGACAGCCGGTGTCTGCAGACAGCCTGTGTCTGTAGTTACCAATGCAATGGGATTTAAATGTAGCATGATCTGCATATACCTTTTTTTTTTAACTAGTGTTTTACTCCCTTTCTCAATCACCTGGAGCAGTGTGGTTGCTTGGTAGCTCTCAAGTTCAGACTGCATTGAAATAGTTACCAAGAAAGATTCTTTATAGCTTTTTTGTTGTAACTTGATTTCTATTTCCTTTCTTCCTCTCTAAAACTGTTGAAGACTTGTCCTTTTAAGCATTTCTATACCTCTGCTGAATGCAGGTGTACCAATAAATCAGCCAGAGGAAGAAGCAGCATTTGCTCATTTACAGTAGCATTAGTTGTAGCCCTCCAGCTGTCTGGAAAATGTTCTAATGATGTTCATTCACCAAAACTTTTCCTGCAGGCCTTAGCTACCTAATATACCAGCGGCACAAAACATTGCAGAAGGGCTGGGTCTCACTGCGTAGTTTGGTTCTTGTTCTGCCCTTCTTCAGGGTTCAGGAATGTTGGATACACCAGACTACGGTCATGCGTCCATTCCTTATCCTAGGGCAATGTTGTTACATGAGAAACATTTTGAGCCATTTTTTCATAGTGGTATAATTTGGTTCACAAAGCTACTGGAAGTCGTAAAAGAGTGTTTATTCATGTTTATTAGAAAAAAATTAGTAATTATGACATAATAATACCTTTTGATGCTTTCAACTAATATATTGACATAGATGGAGACTGTTTTCCTTGTTCCATACTGCTTAAAGAAAGTACCGGACAATATGATCGCTAAACTGACAATGCTGTACTCCTCTGGCCCCATGCTGTGACCGCTAAGCAGGAAACTGCTTCTTTTGGATTCCCAAGTACCCTAAGTTGGTCTGACTGCAGCAAGCTGTCTTTTGTTTTCAGTTAGTCCAAGTTTTTTTAATTTATATCATTTGAATCTAACCTATTAGCTGAACCACTTTAGACTTAGATGTTTTTTGACTGCTGGGGGTGTGTGAATAATCACATGCTGATGTAGTTCCTTTAAAACTGAACGTTTTCATAGGTTCTCAAACATAAAATAAAAGGGATTTGGATTTGAGTTGCTTTTCCTACTTTCTAGCAAGAATACGTATTAGTAACAGGTGTCGTCTTGGGGAGATCAGTCTATATGTATACCCAGTCCGTTATAACTATGCCACTCTTCAGTCAAAGCTTCTTTTGGAAAAAAATTTTAGAAGTTTCTCTGGTCAATTGTTACATCTGTAAATGTTTGTCCACAGAACTATATGCGTACAGTATTTGGCGCTGCTTATTTTGGTGAATAAAGCTTGAAGTCTGTTAGAATGCACTAATACAGTGCATTCATATGTGAAGAAAATCACAGTTGGCCTCACGCAGGCATTCAGGAGGTAGCTACTGGCACATCAGATGCCCAATGTTTTTGTGTATGTTGACCCACGTACAGAAAAGTTCAGAATTTGGAACTAGCTTGTAGATTTCAAACTGAGAGGAGTTTTGGTTCAGGATTTTAGCCCATTTTAAAGAAAATTTCAATGTATTTTGAATTCTGAACTCTTCCTCTCCAACTTGGTGAAATTCGGAACTCGCATTTTACTACTTATTTTGCTAATAAACCTGCACTGGCAATTCTGAGTTTCATTTTTGCTGCTCTGAATAAAGCTCTCTGCAAACATTTTGGTTTGGTGCATTATGCTTTGACGTGCAGGAATGATAGTTGCCAAGTAGAAGAGAGGTCCTTCCAGAGCAGAAGCTTAAGTCACATAGCAGGAATCTCTCTCTCTTTCCTGGGTATGCTTTCCCTATAACTATATTTTGAAGGTTATAGTAATCTCGACCTTTACTACCCCTCTCACCTTTGCTTGACTGTAATGCAGCAAAGAAAAAGGGTAGATTCTGATCTAAACAGCTGACTTGAGTGACAACTGCCCTCGTACGATGTATCAGCAGTTTCACTGGAGAGGGGGGTACTGGAGGCCTGGCACGTTGGAAATGACATTGCCTTGTCTTTGATTATTTTTTTTTATGAGCAAATATTATAGAGCAGATAATAGGTCTGATTTACAAAGGCTGAACAAAAAGCAATAAATAGCATCCAAATTCATAATGTAAATTTTATTAAGCATATGCAGTCTTTCATCATTCTTTTGTGAGTAGCAGCATTAAGGCTAAAAAAGCAATTAAGGTGGAATTAATTGCCTTGTAAAATATTATTCTGCCTCCTTAATAGCATCTATTATGTGATAATAAATCCCAGCCATCATCAATATGAAATGAGATTTCTCGAAGTTGTTTTGTGAAGAAACCAAATCCAAAATTTTGTAGATCTAACAAATACAGTGACAATTCTGTGTTCTGGGCTCATGTTGAGAAGCCAAAAGATAAATGGAAATGAGAAATGGTCCTGAATTCTCGAGAGAGGAGAGAACTTTATGGTTTTGACATGAGCCTAAAGCACCTTCACCTTATGGCCTCTCTGATACACGTTTTCCCAGTTCTAAATTTGAATGGTTTCTGTATTCTGAGGTTGGGAAGTAGCGTCCACCATAGATACTGGTTGGGAAAACGTCTCTTAAGGTCGTTTTCTCAGATACTGCAGACGATGATGTGATGGCTGTGGTCAGAGCCCAGGCAGGAACATTAGAGTGCTCCAGTCAACTCTGGTTATTCCTCTTCTGCTGCGTGAATGGGTCTCCAGGGCTTTCCTTTGTCCTGTCATAAAGCCATAGATCTGCTAAGAGTGCATCCTGAGCTTTCCGTGCTGATCTGTCTCAGGCCGTAACCATATCACTGTCCTGGGATGCAGGCCTTCTCCTACACAGCCGTTTGCTTATCTACAGACTTACAGAACTGTAAAGCTTGGTTTCATTTTTCTGAGCTTTCGGGTTCTTCTTTCCCCTAAGAGCAGCAGCACTCATCTTTGGAGGCATGTTTTGTTCCAGTTCCATCACTGATCCTTTACTCCTGTGAAGCAATGGGGACAGCTAGTGGTCAGCTGGCTGCATGGCAAGGAGATGTTTCAAATACATTTTTCTGTGACTGTGACCGTATTCAGATTTCAAAGTTCTTGGTCTGTTCTGTTCTATACGGAATAGGAGTGCCTTAGGTGATGTGAATCCTATCTTTCACATGCCCAGATGCGGGAAGCAGCAAAGCTAGTGAAGAGGCCTGTCTTAGAAGTTTGGTTATGTTGCAGGGATTTTTGCTATGCTGTTTAATTAAC